TGGTGGTCTCAATGCCCAGGTGGGAGAGGACTATAACAGCTGGGCCCAAGTATTAAGTCCCCATGCTAGACGTGTTACTAATAACAACGACCACCTCTTGTTAAACCTTTGAGTCACACTCGGCCTTTTCATCGATGGGACGGAATTTCAGCATAGTTCCATTCATCAACAGACGTGGAAGAAGACAGAAAGTCACTTCAGAAGCAGAATCGACCAAGTGCTAATCAGCAGCAAATGATGCAGTGCCCTCAACGACACTCAGACGGAAAAACGTACTGGTATTAGAACTTATCATTGTTCACTAGTCACGAAGTTCCGCTTTTGTTCGGTAACAACTAGAGGAACTTCCTGAACAGGAGGGAACGACAACTTTGATATAGAGAAGTTGAAAGAATCCGTCGCTCGAGAGATGTTTCAGATGGAAAACAGCATCAACTTCGATGCTTTGAACGACGTCACCATCTCCCAAGCTCTATAACCGCCGTAAGGAAGGCGTCGTCGATACCTCTGCTAAAGCTGTTGGCTTCAGCAGCAGGAGGAATGAACAGCCCTGGGTCATTACACAAAGTTTAAGTCTTCGTCGGGGAAAAATTCGGCGAAGCATGCGTCATTATATGACGCTGATGAAACCAAGAAACGAGAGTACTGCTTTCTCATGGACGAGGTCAACAGCTACCGCGAAGGAAACGGCCATAGCAGCAGTGTCGTCATCAGGGTAATATGCAGATGACTGGGCAGAATCATGTAGAACAGTTATATAATACTTAAGTGAAAGCATCCGCGGTTCTTTCTTGCCTTTTGTCAGAACTGCCGGTAATTTCCACGACCTTTCTGTCCAATACAGTTTTTAGGAAGTCTTGTCAACATCGTTCCTGCCGATATTATGAACTGCGCTTATCTCCTTTGTCCTGTCCGCTTAATGATATGCAGTACACCATCGATCTCAATGAATTAGTTGCCCATTTTGAAGAGATTTCAAATCCGTCATTCTACTGATGCCGTTTAACGTTCCTAGAATGTTGAATAAGAATAAAGGTGATGACCACAGACCTGTTTACCATATATCCTCAACTTCATTATTCATAACCGCTTCTTCTTTAGGGACCCGGAAGCAGGCGCGTCAGAATATTTTGTTAATTTTTCAATTAATTCTCATACGGTCTTTAAAGTGAAACCTCATGAAACCGAAAAGCAAATGTTGGTTACAAGTTCAATGTTTTAAACGATAACATGAAACAGCGTGTTAAACGTCATGCACATAACAACAGCAGAATTAAAATACAGCCATCTGCAAGTCACAAATTTTAAGCAAGTTCCCCAACAAATAGAAACGTCGTTTTTTTCACAGACACAGACGCTCGAGAGACCAACCGTCAGCCGCTGCACGGATTCTCCAGCATCATCCGATGTTAATTGGTCTTCACGTCTTCGAAATCTCACGTGATCAGCCGAATGATCCTCTCACATGACGGAGAACTCGATCGAAGATGGTGCACGGCATACCAACGATGCGATCAGGACAAGACAGGGCGTTACTCTGCTTGGATGGAGGAAGATGACTGAGAAACGACCTCTTGGTCTAGTCCATTGCCGCACTGTTAGTGATGACCGAGTTCTGGAACTCCAAGGCCGTGGCGATCACCTGGAAGTCGAATGTATGTTTGTGGAAAATTCTGGTAGTCTCTTTCGTCGATACAGAACGAACCGATACATCGATGATAATCTGATAAGCAAAATTCGAACTTCTATGTGTATTTAAAGAGCGAACATCGAATGCCAATTCACTTTCTTGTGGTCCTTCGCAAGATTCACAAAAGTCATCTGTGAACGACACTAAGTTTGAACACCTGAGTAAATCGACCCTGGCCTAATCAAATGGAAAAATATTGCATTCACAGCATACGGCAGGCCAGATATTTAGCCATTTTGAACCAATAAAGAAAGGTTTCGAACGGTATGACCATGAACAAATCTTGGCATGCCTGGGGTGCAAGTGGCTTGTTGACCTCGAGTTTACACGGTCCCTGTCTGAGCCAGGCTCGTTTTCTGTTGCGTATTAGTCGAATTGCCAGTACTTCCTTTTTTATTACTTTACGGAGCAGTATGTTCTACCTACAATTTTTATTTAAAAAACCAAAAGAGGACGACCTACATGATCATGATGCTCGATTTCGGCGCCAGTAGTGTCAACATATCACCATCACGCACTTAATAGCTGAGTATTTAATGCAATAATCAGCACAAAGTGTAAGTGCAATTAGTCCAGGAGTCCCCACTGTGACAGGAATGCTAAAACTACCGTCGAATTTCACGGCCTTTCAGCCAGCATAAGGACACTCTAATCCAACGTTACCTGAATCATGACAGAATCGCATGATAATCAAGATGAAGGTAAGCGGAGAAT